TACGAAGCAAACTTATATGGCATCGATTGTTTCTTCAGCATTCGTACCTCTTGCAAATCTTAATAAAAGTAAGCAATCATTTTTAATTTCTCATTAATCATCCATTCGGTAGTTAACCGACTGAATTTCAAACGGGGAGATCTCCCCGTTCGGTTGGCTAAGCGTTAAAGCAGAGAATAACATCTGCACTCGATAAGTTATTACTAGAAATTTTCGTGACGAGTCGGACTCGTTAAAATACCGCAAAGGGTTAAGATATGCTTTCCAGTATCACAATTGTATCCGACAGAAGCTCGTCAACTTTCTTTTAAACAATAATTCCAGATGAACAACGAACACCGTTGAATCGTACCTAAAAAACGATCGATCACTCTTTTGCACGATTTGTGAAGGTCGCCGATGTTCTCGACTTAAAAATCATTTCGGAAGCGACCAAAGAACGCAAAAATAAATTTGAGAACGTCTCCGAGCTTTCGGTTCGACGTTCAACTAGCAGAACTTGAAATCGCATTCGTAGGAAAAATTGAACCGAGATCTCCTCGCGACCAGGTAATTTCCGGCAGAAATTGCCGCGACTAATCGCCAGTGAGAAATCAAAAGAGCCGGATGGCAGCCGGGGCGACAAGAGAGGAGGACGGGAAACGAGATCGTCCGTCGTTAGTAGAGCGTCGTGTGTTGGTCGGCGAGCGTCGGGGCGAGCAAGTAAGAAAGAGGAGAGCAGGAGGAAGAAGCCGGCTGAGAAATAGAGAATGAAAAAACGAGTGTCGGGGACCGGTCGTAACCTCGCCGCTCCTATTTTTCATGTTTCATCTGCCGCTTTCGTCCGGGAAGAAGCCGGCGGACAAAAGTAGCGCCGCGCTGAATGGCCGAGGCGAGACGTCTCGCGCGCGTTTTCTTTGATTCCGTTCCGAACCGATTGCTTTGTTTGCAGCCGGCGACGGCCACGTTTCTCCTCTCGGCGCGTCCCAACGGCCGAACCATAAGTTAAATAAGTTCTTAATTGCGAGACTTCGCGCAGTTCGAGCGCGAATTTCGCGCGGTCGAATTACAGGCGTCAACTTCGAGATCCTCTTCGAGATTCTCTGGAAATTGAAACTGATGTTTAAACCGGCGCGGTCGAACCGCCGGCATAATTCCGGCGGTCTCGATCTAACTTTCGGCTTCCGGTATGCATTATGCAGCGACGCGGAAGTTCGCGGAGATTTTTGAACGGCAACTCTTTTAACCGTGTCGCCGATACGGCGCGGCGAACGCGTGTGCCGATCGATGCACCGAGGATTGTTTTTTTCAATCCGCTCGCCGTAAATTCCAAATTCCCGCGTCATTCCAATTTGCCGGGCCGGCTAATTAATTCATCGGGGCATTGATGGAAAAAAATGATGGAGCGTTTGGGGGGTGGGGAAAAAACGGTTCCACGGGAAAGCACGTGAAGTTTAATTAACAGCGCCGCCGGTTGGCGTCGAACAAAATTTTTGGCGGCGCGAGGCGCGAGGGGCGAGCGCGATTTTATATTCCGACGCGATCGAACGGAAACCCCGGCCAACGGGTTTCACGCTTTTCTGTCTGATTTTATGGGGTCCGATATTTTAGAAACTAGATTCGCCGAGAGATCGATGATGTCCCGGGTTTTATGGACGAAGACCCGCCGGCGAGTGTTCACGACGACGCCGTTCGATGCCGCCACCGTTCAGAACGTGCGATTCCGTATCAGCAAGCTATGAAATCTTTATTATCAGGGCATTAATTGGATCTCGTGACGCCAGCACGGTAACTGCTCGCTAAACGTCCTCCGAAAACTATGGATTACCGTGAAAGCGGCGCGGTATCGCGCCACTGTGCAAACGTCTAATTCACTTCACTTCGTTTCAGCCGGTGGAGTCGCGTTTCGAAAGCCCTTCCTCGATTTTCTGGGCAATGAACAAGCCCTCTCCATGGTCCCCCTTCAATTCTTCACCCTCCTCGGTGCATTAATAAGCCTAAAACACGGCTAAATACGCTCTCGTGGTTCGCCCCTCCCCGCAGCCAACTACGGCGCTCGCTCGAACAGCCGCGTCATGGTGAAAAGCTCGTTTGTCTGAACGTTTGCTCTCCCCTTTGCCAGGCTTTCCCATTTCCCAGCCGGTGCAGCTTACCCCGGGAGCTTGAATGCCACGATGTAATACACCTAGACTGTCGCAAGCCGACGTACACCGTGGTGCCGGTGATTAGACGGCGAATGGGATCGCAGGGAAACTCGATTCGAACCGAGTTTTCGGCACCAGCCAAGATATCCGTGTGGCCGTGATTACGATAGAATAGGGGATCGGGGCGGGGAAAGATCGAGATCGCAAAAGTCTCCCGTTCGTGCTCCATTCGACCCCGATTAGATTGTCGGACACCGCCGGGAACCAGACAATTAAAACCGGGAGCTACCCCCTCGCGCGCGACCACGATCTTCCTTTTCGGGTGCACGCGCGGTGCTGAAACGCTGATCGCGTTGGGTGGTTTGAAACAGAATCGAGGGAACGGAGAATGTTTCAGCAAGTTCGAAAGGGTTTAGGGAGTTCTGATTTCGTTGAGAAGTTTTGTCGATGCGACGTTAAGATTACAATATTATAAGGAAGAAAGAATTGTATTGAAACACGGCGTGAAGCCGAGCCAGTAATTTGAAGACCTCTGAGTTCCTGCTGGGCCCGGAGGGTCTCTCTAAGACTCTGCTGAACCTTGATGAACTTCGTGCTTTTCTCCCTCCCTTCTAACACTCCTCTTCTTTCTACCTGCACCAGGTTGTTCCTTAATCCTATTCTCTCCGTAAATCCTTCAGTTTCATACATCCTTCCCTTGTCTAGAATCTTTCCTTCTTCAAATTCTACTGTTCATTCAGGTACCGTTTTGTTTCAAATCCTTTTGTTCATTTAGAGGTCCTATTTTGCTTCAAATCCTGTTGTTCATTTAGTGGTCCTATTTTGCTTCAAATCCTTCTGTTCATCTAGGTCCTATTTTGCTTGAAATCCTTCTGTTCATCTAGGTTAAATTTTGCTTTAAATCCTTCTGTTCATCTGGGTCCTCTTTTGCTTTAGATCCTTCTGTTCATTTAAGTCCTCTTTTGCTTCAAATCCTTCTGATCATCTAAAGGTTCTCTTTTGCTTAAAATCCTTCTGTTCATCTAGGTCCTCTTTTGCTTTAAACCTTTATGTTCATCTAAGTCCTATTTTGCTTCAAATCCTTCTTTTCATTTAGATGTCCCTTTTGTTTAAATCCTTCGGTCCATATAGGTCCTCTTTTATATAAAATCCTTCTGTTCATCCAGGTCCTCTCTTGCTTAAAATCCTTCTGTTCATCTAAGTCCTATTTTGCTTCAAATCCTTCTGTTCATCTAGATCCTCTTTTGCTTGAAATCCTTCTGTTCATCTAAGTCCTATTCTGCTTGAAATCCTTCCGCTCATTTAGACGTCCTCTTTTATTTAAATCCTTCGGTCCATATAATCCCAATTTTACATAAAATCTACATTACATCAAAATCTTACATAAAATATAAAGATCCTCGCTTCTCCTAGAGCCTTCTCTTCATGCAAATCCTCTCATATCCTACGTCTTCCACTTTCCTAGATCCTCCTCCTCACCTGTATCCTCTCCTTCTTCAGCTTCTCCTCTTCGTCTATTTCCTCTCCTACTTCCCACCCTCCTCTCCAGATCCACCCTTTCAGAACTCCAGTTCCAGACTCTATCTCTAGAATCTTCCCTTCTCTAGACTCCCTCCTTCCTTAGAATCGTCGCTTCCAGACAGGCAAAGCGCAAAGCGCGGAGTGCAAAGCGCGGAGTGCAAAGCGCGGAGTGCAAAGCCAACAGGAAACGCGGAAACGGCGGGCGAAACAGAGGAATGCCCGGGCTTTGCGAACGCATCGGCCCTGCAGCAGCCCTTTCGCAGTCGGTTCATTTGCGTCTCGTATAAAGTCGTAACGTTCGCCGGTTCATTGTTCTCCGGCCGGTATTCAACGGAGGGTCGGGCGCGGGCCGCGGGTCCGAGGAGCAATGAAAGCGGGGTGAAAAGAGAAATAGCAACGGTCTCGTTCGGGCAAACACGTGGCGTCCAATAAGCGTCCGAGCTGGGCCGGGAAACGCCGAGTATAATTTCTGCTTTACGATACCGACGACGCCCCGCCGCTTCGAGAGAGAAGAAAGAACTGCGGTGGAACGCGGACCCGGCGGAACGTGGACGGCGAAACGCTGATAAGAGATACGGCAGGGCCGAGGGTCTCCTAACGAGCCGTTGAACGCTTGTACGACGTCTCTCGATGGGTTTCTTTACGCCGACGGCCGCGTAAGTGTCCATCGTGATTTTGCGCGGAGTGGACCCCTTGTTCGCGCTGCGACGAGGAAGAGAGCCGAACATCGAGACGAAATTCGCTTCTTCCGGGAAATCCTGCGACTGTCCGGCGCTCTCTGTTTTCGCCCGCAGGCATCGACGCTTTTCAAACACTCTTCGCAGTTTCTCCCGTCGAAACGGACCCGGGCGAATGAAATTTTACCACGGCGAACCCCGCGGCTCCGCTGGAGTTTACAGGTGGTTTCGTTGTCGTTTCGTTTCGCATTCGCGATGTTTGTCCGGGTTCGCGGACGGTTCGTTAGTAATTTGTAACAGGGAAAATCGGGAGCGGGTTATTATTCTCTGGCGAGGATTTTATCGGCTCTGCGACGGAACAGCGCGGCGTGCTACATCCCGTAACACGGTGCTAAACTTTATTAAGATCGTAATTCCGCCGGGCCGAGGATGAAGACGTTATAAATAAAACTTCCGCGGTCTAATCGTTATTACCCAGGCGGCGGATCATTATGCGGTTATGCAGATTCCGGGAAATTACATCCGGCGACGTAGAAGTTCGAATAAAAATGCAAATCCGATACACTGCGTCACCTTCTTAATTAATAAGCGGTCCGAAACTTCGTCAAGCTGCCGCATAGATCCGATTGCTTTTACGCGAAAAGGGGCGAAGTGTACATGTCCACATCCGTACACGAAATAAGTGTAAAAGCTTTTATTTTTTAAACACCTGGTACTTCGTGGTACAAATGGTCTATAAAAATTACACGTCGTTTAAGATCGTCCGATGAACGGTACGAGCTGATCCTTACAAACTAACTGCATTGTCAGAGATAGCACCAGTTAACATAAAAAAAAAAGAAAAACGATATAACGATAAAATATCGATCAACATCAAAAATATAGGCGTGCCGGCCGCAAATGCGCCATCCCGCAACCATGTCCTCCGTTAAGGTAATTAGGTACTATAGTTAGAAGTATACGACACATTACGTTCCGCCGCGTTCCTCTCCCTCCTCTCGATCAGGAGACTTATGGTCGTCGAAATGCCGCATCTCCCAACGAGATCCATGAACCCGGCGTACATCAGCCGTTTAACAAGTCAACGGATAACAGCACGCTCCCACAGCCTCGATATAACAATCATGTGATCCCCATCACGGCCGATTATTTTCGTCCTTTTTCCCGTCATTATTACCCTGTCAGCAGAATGGCAGCCGATCACGTCACGCCGCAGACTGTTGATCGAAGCATCACAGAATATTCCTTATGTCAGGAACGTCCGAGGGACGTTCGCTATTTCGACATATTCCTCAGTTGTATCCGCAGGATTTTCCCGCTGCTGTTTTTCGGGATGTTATCCACGAACGTCACTCCGCCTGCAAACGAACCGTATGCTCATCGACCGTCTCAATTAGCTGTCTAAAAGCGGGTGTCCATATCGAGAGTTGCTCTTCAGGGTGTCCCAGAATTATTGTATTGAGGGAAATGAGGGGTTCCTCAGGTCATTTGAAGTAACTTTTTCCTTAGCGAAAATGCAATCAGAGGCCTCGTTCACGAGTTATCGATGAAAAACAGTGACCAATGACAGGCGAGCTCGACTGACGCGGGGCGGCCGAGCCAATGAGCGGAACTGGGCGTCGACCACTCGATCGCACGGCCGCCTCGCGCCAGCTGATCTCGCCTCTCACTGGTCACCGTTTTTCGTTGATAACTCGTAAACGGAGCCGCGGATTGCATTTTCGCTAAGGAAAAAGTTACTTCAAATGACCTCAGGAATCCCGCAGGAACCCTCATTTCCCGCTTATACAATAATTTTGAGACGCCCTGTATAGTTTAGTGTATCTCACAGTACGAAACCAATTCGTTTCGAGAGAGTAGTTATCTAACAGTGGTCCTAGTATGACTCGAGCCTCGAGGCTCCAAACACAGCTAGACAAGACGCGGAAAAGGGTAAGGGGCCTGGCAGGTCCCACGTATACGAAACCATAGAGCAACTGTCGAGAGTTTTACTCTCAGATGAACATCCGCCTTAACTCAGTCTTACTGAGTTAATTCGCCTTACCTAGCAGCTCCTTGTAGCTCGCCACCTTCCCCTTTATGAAGTCCTGCAGCTGTTCAGGTTTCGGCGCCGCGCCCTTCTTCGTCAGGACGAAGGCTTTCGGCACCTCGCCGTGTCTGGCGTCCGGCACACCGATCACAGCCGCCTCTTCAACGTCTGGATGAGTTCTCAGCAAGGCCTCGAGCTCCGCAGGCGCGACCTGCAAGAGATTTACGTCACTCGCGAACGTTGTGGCCTCCTTAATCGAGCCTCGATACTTTTTGGAAATTGTTTGCGCACTCTTCGGCTATGTTCCAGAGGTCTCTGACCCGTCGAGGTCGCGCAAAATCAAGATAAACTACAGGTTTAAACTACAGATAAGCTCCTTGGAACTTTCAGAAAGGAGTTTGGGGTCTCACCTGGAATCCCTTGACCTTGATTAGCTCCTTCAGTCTGTCTGTCACATAGAAAAAGTTTTCCTCGTCGTGATAAGCAATGTCGCCGGTCTTCAGCCAGTCTTCGTGCATCATCTCTCTGGTCGCGGCCTCGTTGTTCAGGTAGCCCTTCATGACATGGGGCCCTCTCACCCAGATCTCGCCGTTCTCGCCCGGACCGCTGACATCTTTGTTGGTGAGAGGATCCACCAATCTCATTTCGCATCCGACTATGGTTTTGCCGATGCTTCCCGGCTTCGTCCCCGTCACCTCGAAGGAAACGACCGGCGAGGTCTCGGTCATCCCGTACCCTGGTCAACAAAGCCGCATTGAACCGTCGCAACTTGATCTTCGAGACGACAGAAGAACTCGCGACAGGAAGATCCTTGAGGAACTCACCTTGGCAGAACTTCATCTTTTCGTTGTCCAGCCCGAACTTGTCGTAGAACCTCTGGACGTCCGTTTCCGACAGTGGCGCTGCCCCGATGATGGCGTGATGAACGTTCTCCAGCATCTCTTTCTTCACGTGCGGAGCAGCGTTCAGGAAGAGCAGTATCGGCGGAACTATGTACAAACCGGTCATCTGGAAAAGAGCGTAGCTTTAGAAAACCGAAGCACGAGCACTGGAGAGCAGCTTTTCTGGTCCGCCGAGTGACAGTTATCGTAGAGATACTACATCATTTTTGTGGTGATCCGGTGTCAGGTTCTTTTTAAATGAAAAAATCAGTATTCCTTCTTTTTGGGGCTTCGCGTCGGTGAAACATTCGCCATAGTATTCGTCTCGTTTCGTTGATTAAAATAGCACCAGATATAATCACGATTGTAATTACTTGTTGAAGTCGAATCTTGAAGTCAAGTTAATCAGTTGGAGTTAATCAATTTTAATCGCTTATTACACAAGCTATTATGATCATAATCATAAAAGTGTCAGCTTAGTCAGAAAAACAAGGCGAATGCGATGGTGAAAGTTTCGTGCAAAAGAATCGGGAATAAGAAGAGCTGCGATGTTTGGACTTTTCCCTGGATCGGTCATCGAATATGCTTAACGCTTCGACTATTTCATTTAGTCAAATAATTGATGTATCTTATTTAATCAAATGAATATTAAGAAGTTGGATTGTATGATACTTTTTCATCATTCTTGCGTTTTATGGATCGTGATAAAATTGGGACGATACAATAGATTGTCAAAGTGTGACGTCAAATGAATTTCGACAAATATCGTAAAGATTTTTTTTACGATTATCGTATGGATCATTTTTACAGTTACCAAGTGTACACTGTACCTTTTGCGTCGCCATGAGTTGCAAGATCTGCGCCGGCACGAATTTCGGGACTGTGATGAGCTTCGTTCCGGTGGAGAGTCGCGGCAACGTCAACGAGTTCAGCCCGAAGATGTGGAAGAAAGGCAGGATGACTGGTATCACCTCCTGGAAGTCAGCTGAAAAAACAGAGTATCGACGTAAGTTCGCATAATCTCGATACCGACATCGCTGAGAAGAACAATGTCCACTCACGGGATGTGAACTCCCACATCTTCCCGCTGACAGTTTGCTCGGTCATGTCCATATTTGCGACCAGGTTTTTGTGAGTCAGCATGACACCCTTCGGCAAACCCGTCGTTCCGCTTGAATAGGGCAAGATCGCAACGTCGTTGATGTTATCATGGCTGTGCTTTATGGGTGGCAACGTTTTGCCGCGTGTGATTAGGTCCTGAAAGAATTGTGGATTGAAGAACGTTTATAGGATGACGCTGGCCTTGCATACAAAATGTTTTATACTAAAATGTTGCCTAGTCATCTCGCATTATTTCACTCGATAAATTATAAGATCGATCATGCAATAACACTGAAGAACCTAAATATGATTGCTATAAATCTGACTCGTGATAGACGTGTTCTTCTCTCCTATTTTAGATCTCATTTTTAATTCTTGTTTTTGCTGTCCCTGACCTTGAATCGCCCTGAATGATTATTGTCACGGAATTCCTGATGAAAAGGGCTATCGTCCTATGCGATTCTTCATTTTTTTTAAATGACATAGAAACAGATATTTATGTGGCACCGTATGGGCCTACTCGAACCATTGAACTTAGTACACAAAACACTTGACGTATCTTTACAAACAACAACGATGTTTGGGGTGCAATCTTTACGCGACTCACCCTGTATATGACGGAACAATAGTTCTGCATTACGTATCCAAAATTTGCAGCGACAGCTGTGTCAGTTTTCAAATTATTTACCGCGCTACTTTCGACCTTTCTTATTTTTCCGTCCTACAGTCTAAGCCAGGGGTGTCAAACTCGCGATGATGAACATTTTTGATGCCAAATATCAGGACGTAAACAACAATTTAACTTTATATATGTTTATTACAATGTACTAGTCAAAATAAAAATATTTGTTTCTATGAACATTGATTTCTTTTTGGCGGCCCACCTAAAGTTAAGCATTGTTTATTAGCTTTTGAGTTTGACACCCCTGGTCTAAGCAAGTTCTGCGACTATTATTCGTTGTCATGCTCACCAAGAACGGTATAGTGCCCTCGGGTATCGGTCCGGTGCCGTCGTCGATGACCATGAAAGGCGCATTCGGTGCCATGGTTGTCTTCGCTGCTGCAGCAACATTCTTCGCGATCTCTGTCACCGTGATGATCGCCTTCGCCCCGGAACTCTTCAATTGCCTGGCGATCTCCTCTGCGAAAACGGAATGATCGCCATCAGCGAACAATTGAAACAATTGGCGGCCTCCTACAAGGAGGCTCTCGATTGACCGCCGCCGCGGCGCGCTGTCCCAGAGACGAGGCGCTTTTGTCAACGAGCCCCCGCGGCGATCGTTNCGAACCATTGAACTTAGTACACAAAACACTTGACGTATCTTTACAAACAACAACGATGTTTGGGGTGCAATCTTTACGCGACTCACCCTGTATATGACGGAACAATAGTTCTGCATTACGTATCCAAAATTTGCAGCGACAGCTGTGTCAGTTTTCAAATTATTTACCGCGCTACTTTCGACCTTTCTTATTTTTCCGTCCTACAGTCTAAGCCAGGGGTGTCAAACTCGCGATGATGAACATTTTTGATGCCAAATATCAGGACGTAAACAACAATTTAACTTTATATATGTTTATTACAATGTACTAGTCAAAATAAAAATATTTGTTTCTATGAACATTGATTTCTTTTTGGCGGCCCACCTAAAGTTAAGCATTGTTTATTAGCTTTTGAGTTTGACACCCCTGGTCTAAGCAAGTTCTGCGACTATTATTCGTTGTCATGCTCACCAAGAACGGTATAGTGCCCTCGGGTATCGGTCCGGTGCCGTCGTCGATGACCATGAAAGGCGCATTCGGTGCCATGGTTGTCTTCGCTGCTGCAGCAACATTCTTCGCGATCTCTGTCACCGTGATGATCGCCTTCGCCCCGGAACTCTTCAATTGCCTGGCGATCTCCTCTGCGAAAACGGAATGATCGCCATCAGCGAACAATTGAAACAATTGGCGGCCTCCTACAAGGAGGCTCTCGATTGACCGCCGCCGCGGCGCGCTGTCCCAGAGACGAGGCGCTTTTGTCAACGAGCCCCCGCGGCGATCGTTGCAGTAACAGATAAGATTACGGGACTTCAGATGGCATTCTAATGTGAATCTTTGAAAAAATTGATTTCTTTTTAATTATATTTTCTACGAGAAAAATATGTCGTCAGAACATCATCATCTGAATTCTTGAAATTAAGAAACATAATTAAGAAACGCGATTTATACTGGAACATTGTTAACGTTATGACATTAATTTTCTAAAAATAACGTACCCTTATTATCATATATAAATACATTAATCAAAAGTTATACGGTGTTATTTATTATTACAGTTCTAATTTTTTATTAATGTATTTATATGATGCTAATCAAAGTTAATCAAAGAATATCTATTTAACTAAACAACTAGCTATAATAATAAATTTATTATCATGGCACTAATTTTATAAAAACAATATACCCTTATCATCATATAAATACATTAATAAAAAATTATAGCTGTAATAACAAATAATACCGTATAATTTTTGATTAATGTATTTATATGATAATAAGGGTATATTGTTTTTATAAAATTAATGCCATGGTAATAAATTTATTATTATAGCTAGTTGGTTAGTTAATTAGTTATTCTTTGATCAGTTGCCTAAGAACACGGTGTTCCTCTTTCTCCACCGCACTTGTTATTACATGATACAACTGCAATAAATCATCTCGTACACAGCTGGATGTTCTTACACGACGCCATGTAAGCAGGGTTAACGAACGAGACTCACCAGGTGTGTAGAACGGATTAACAGTGGTCACTGTCAAATCGGCCTCAAGGATGCCCAGCAACGCGAGAACCGTCTCCGGATAATTGGGCGATATCAAGGCGACCACATCCCCCTTTCTCAGGCCCATGTTCAGTATACTTCTGGCGATGTAATTAGAGGCGTCCCTCGCCTGGCTGTACGTGTACTTCCGTCCGGTGGCCGCGCACTCCTACAACCGGGCATCGTTCATTGCATTACAGGAATGACACGCGGACTTCTCGGTTCGCGACGAATTACACGTCTTGCTCGCGTGGATTACACGGCGTCGATTTGGCCGGCTCGGCGTTACCCGGAAAAACGACAGTGCTCGGAGATTCGTCAGGTCGACGCAGATTGAAACGCTGTTACCCTTTTGCATCAACGCGGCCGCGGCCGTTGCACAGAAAATTGCATTCATTTCCGCGCAGCAGAATCGTTCGCGCGTCGCGAGAAACTCTGCTTCGCGTGGATTGAAATTGTTCGCTAGATCCATACAAATTATTTATCGCGTGGAGCGTGCCGGGCATAAGAATGGTAATCCCGCGGAGTTCAAAGGTCTGTTGTTGGTCATCGCGGCACTTGTGTCAATATCTTATCGACGAATCGCATCGGCATACTTCAAGTTAAATGAATCATTCTTTGCTGGAGATCCATGCGGTGTGTCAACATTATAGCGCGCATTATTCAAATCGTCGAACTATGCGTAAATCATTATGTAATAGGCTGTTAAAGTAAAAGAAGCAATGTCAAGTATCGAATTTATGCGGTCGTAGAGCAATTAATTGTTGACTAATAAGCTAATTTGATAGAGAAGGAAAAATACTTTTCTTTATATAAATACTAAATACTTTTCTTTATATAAATACTAAACTTTCGGCAGAAAGTCAACATTCTAATGCGGATCATTTAAACGTTCAACCACGTAATACTATTATCTTATGGATCGTTAAAGTACAAGAAACAAGATTAAGTTGTGAAACTATTCGAGTCACAGAGCACCTAACAATTTGCTGAATTAATTTGACAAAGAATGGCGTGTAGAATGGCAATAATAAATTCACGCGGAATTTCGAATCTAACGTGGATCGTTTAAAAGTTCGACTAGGTAAGGCTATTATCTTATAGCTCGTAAAAGCGAAAGAGACGAAATTAACTGTCGAAACTGTCCGAGTCGTACAGCAATCGAACTGAATTAATTTCATAGAGAGGTGTGGGCAACTTGCTGAATTGCATAACGCTGTGCATCGCGTTCGCAGCAGACAATGTCAAGCATTGAGTTAACACAGTCACGGGATAAATAATTCATGGACACCTTTGGAATTAGTTGATACAATGAAAGAGGTACGTTTCGCATGCATCGACCTAAAAGAATGCGATACTTTAGCATGATAGCGAGATATATGACTCTATTAATATTTATTGTCGTGCCGCCAACAATCGAAGCTACGGGCTGGCCAAGAAAATTGGACACATTTGAACCAGCGTAAATAAAAACAGTCTTCGCGAGTAGATCGCGGATGTTTATGCAAAATCAGCATTGTTCGCGTTCACTGCAATATGCAGAAGCTACGCGGACAATACATTCTTTCTTTAATTATTCTCACTGGGTCAAAATCGAAAAATTTAATTAAAAACTTTACTTGCATGTTCATTTAATCGCGTATCAAATGTGAGATCGCAATCAAACGGATGTAATGAATATAAAATAAAACAATTTTTTCGCACGTTTTCTTTTTCAAATGACGTTAATTTGTTACCAATACCATATTCGGCGTACACTTTATCAATTTTGTCAAAGATCTTCAACTTGTTGCAATTAATTGGTAAGAATGGCATGCAAAAAAACTGTTCAGATTTGTCATAAAATCCGCGATCTATTCGCGAGTAAACCGAAACTGTAAAAGAAACGTCCGTACAGCCGAACAAAAGTGTAATAAAAATCGACGCAAAGCTCCGCATTAGCTGAATGTATTTAAAAAAAAGAAAGATGCAAAAGGCGGAAAGGTTTCGTCGAAAGTAAAAGAATCGCGTTCATCGTAAAAGCCATTCGATAGCCGAAGCGTGAGAAAATAGCTGGCTGCGTGCGGAATGCGATGCCGGAACATGCTCGCAGTAGAATCAGACAACGCTAACCAGACGCCAATGGTTTCTCTGCTAGTCTGAGTCCGCTGCCAGCACGGATCAAAGTCCGCGCGAGACGATTTTCACGCTTCGGGCGCTTCGGGAGTGAAAGCGGGTCGGAAACGCACCAAGGCGATTCTGTCGGCGAAATCCTGGAGGTTCCTCCAGACGTAATCGTGCGTAAACATCTCAATGAAAGTGTACTCGCCGTACGGCGACGAGAAAATCCGTTTCCCATTCTCGTTCTCGACGATCTGTCGCTGGGCCTGCGTCGACGAGCACCTCGCCGACCGGTGCAACGTCTTCGGAGCGTTGTCGGCGAGCTGGCCGATCCTCCTCGCGTACCGCGAAAACTGACGGACGCTGGTCATCGTGATCGTGGGCTTCGTTTCTGGCGAGTCCTCTTCAGCAGTTGATCCAGCCGATAGGCTTTTCTGGAAAAAAGAAGACAGAGAACGAGCACGGAATTAGTATGCGCGAAAGCTGCTTTCTAGCCGGTGCATAACGCGCGCGTGGGTCGCGCGAAATGTAGGCCAGCCAGGCCGGCGACGGCACGGACCGGAAAGAACGCACGCGTCACGGTGCACACGATGCGTTTCGATGCAACCGATAGCGCGCAAGATGCTCGTTCAATTTGCGAGAGCGGTCGGTCCGACTCGCGAGCTCCGCGAATCAAAGTTCTCCCATTTTTTTAGAGGAGTCGAGTTTGGATTGCGATTGCGCGAAAGTTATTAGATTCACGATGCAAAATTTTATGCGATAACGTGTCTAGTTATCGAACGTGATTCAACCGCGGTGTATTCGATATGCGACAGGTTACGTTATTAACAAACAATGGAGACCGGTGTGGGAAGCAACGATTTAACTTTGGACCACGATTACATGCAAGATATTTCGTTCACGACAAAACGTTTGATGCGAAAACATTTCCTAGCTATTCGTCGTTATTCGACGACGGTATTTTCGATTTGCGACAGGCTTCGAGCGAGTTTCTTCAAGGCGATAACACTCCTGTTTACCTATCTTTGAAACTGCAATAGGTGTAACAAATGGTCGCAATAATTGAACACACTTTTTAAAAAGATATTATTAAAACGATGAAATATTTGTTCGAGGAACTTTTCCTCTCGTTGAGAACCTCTTCGGCATCTTTGGCATACTTTCGAAATACGATCATGTTTCGAAGTAGCCAGTGCCACCAATTTCAATGTTTTTTAACCCAAAGAACTTTTAAATGTTATCACGAAACATGCATAAACGGACCTCGTGACTGCAAAAGGTGTTATAGTTTCTTTGCAAAGAAATCCCAAAGAAAGTGAAACAAAAAGGCAATTTACACTAGAATATACCCCACCCCCTTTGATACGGCCCAATACAGGATTAATGCAGCTCTCCGATTTTCTTCAGGAATTATTCATAATTGTTACCTATACGTTCGCAGTTCTTTACTGTTCTTGGCTGGCGGTGAATAAAGAGGCTTCGCTATGCAGATGAAATCTCTTATTCCTTGGGACCGCTTCAAGGACCGAACTATTCCTGCGCGAAGCTGCGTGGATTAGGTCAGGGGACAACGTAGTGTGCCACGCGAACCGTGAACAGGGTATTGACCTTGAATGATTGTATGGCCTCGCGTCGACTTTGCTCCCTCTCTCCTCGTCCCTGCCCCGCCGACTGAACTTCGTTGACGGACTTCGGTCGCAAACAATTAGCAAAATCATCGCACATAATTACCGCGTCACTAACTGATAACATTAACGGAATTAAGACTCACCGGATCCACGCGGTTTATCGTGTATTTTTGCTAGATTACGTGCCTAATCTTGCAGCTCGTTACGAAATTAAAAGCTACCCCGTGCCGTTAGAATAGAACTAACAGTCTTCATAAAAAGTCATACTGAAACTAGTTGCCCGATGATTGCGCTGTGTACGGTAACCCGTCCGTGCCCAAAGAAATAATGAACACGATGATCTAATAATCGATTGCTTGACGCGGCATTATTCGACTTTGCATTCGTCGCGTTGACGAAGTTTCCCTTCTTTTCTTTTCGATGGACAAACGAATCGACGCTTTTGAACTTTTCCGAAGTTGTTGCGATTCAGAAAGATTAAGCATCGATATACCGTAACGATGCAAATGAGGTCACTGACCATAATTAGACCGTTGATTTTTATGCATCGATGGCACTTTCACATTTCCAAGTCACGAGAAAACGTGCATACGAACAAACTATTAACGACGGATCGATCTCATTCGTAAAACAGCGAATTTTCTAGTTGGTGAATTGAATCTGTTTCTCACCCTGATTACGCATAAATATCCGCGCTTGAACAGCATGATCCACGACGATTGAGAAAGAAACACCTTAAACATTATTTTAGATAATTCTCGGATGATCTAAATCGGCCTGCCTCCAGAGGAGAAGAAAATTAAGCAGAAATATTGGCTGTATACAGTAAATTTTCCCTAATTTTCCTTCAACTTGTAAACAAAGATAGACAATTTGCAAAGAAGAGATACGATTATTCGAGCCTTGCACCTTCGTTCAACTATTAAAACAACTCGCGTGGCTCGAATAATCTCCTTTTCCCAAATTGTCCATTTTTGTTTGCAAGCTGAAGAAAAATTAGGCAGAATTTTCTATGCAGTACTATGTCCGTCGCGCGATCCGCCCGAAATGTCGCCGGTGCAAGAGGAGCTGAGAACAAGTGCCGTTAAAGAAAAATAAAAGAAACAGAATAGCGAGCATCAGCGGGAAAACTAGCATGCGCCCGGTAGTGTTAAATGGAGAAGGCAACGTGCTCGCGAGGCAAGTCGATTTGGATCCGATTACAGAGCGAGCAACGATGCCAAGGGCGACGGTTCCGCGTCAGAAACCGATCAGAGAACGTAACAAGCTCTATCGGATCGAAACAGGAGGAATTCCGCGGGAGAAACGTAAGAAATCGGAGCGCCGAATTTCGATGCCTAATCGATGACAAGCGGGCCGACTGGCACGTAGAATGGGTACAAAGTACAATCGCCGGATTGTTATCAGCTCTGACCCACCCTGACTCTCCTATCTCACGTTCAACGTAAACGCAATCTCTTCCATGGCTTATCATCTGCCGTGTAAGTGTCTCCCGAGTGCCTGACAAGTTACACGACACGGGGTACACGCTTCTGTAACACAGCGGTGCACGGTTAAATTTACTCGAAATCCGTACGATTAAATTCACGCGAAATCCGTTACGTTAAATTTATACGACCCGGCTCAACTCTTTTCCCGCTAGACTGCCTTCAACGAGGCGTCATCTCGGTAGACCTGGATAGAGCATAACTGCAGTGAAAAGAAAGGACAGACGTGCACTCGTTTAGTAGAAAATGTCAGCGTACACTTATTAAACGAAATAACTTCTTCAGGATTGGTCCAAACGACCTTTAAATTTCGTTGAGATTCCAATATTAATATATTATTATATATTGTTAATTATTCCAATATTATTCCAGTATTAATTACTTATAATTATTCCAATATTTTTATGTAAAATAATTTTATAAGCAATTTTAAATAATTAGTTATGAAAATGACTTACGCACGTGAAATTGATTAATTGAATCGGACTAATTTACAACCCAAGAACGTATCGAACTGTATTTATTGTTATTACATTTATATGGCAGTATAATTAGTAATAAATATTATTATTATTATTATTATTATTATTATTATTATTATTATTATTATTATTATTATTATTACTTATTGCAATTGATAGAATTGTCAGAACGCGTACAAGTCATCGAGATCTACGAAACGCTTTTTTTAAACTTTTGTCATAGGCTCAGATAAAAAGTTCGAAAACATGACTGCTTTCATTTTGTGTGTTGTTGTCATTCCAATATCAAAATTTTAAAGAAGGTATTTTAATCACTGTCTAGTAGACTAGTCGGTCTATCATCATAGCAAACAAATTCGAGTCATTTGTCCCATTTTTAAAAATGTACACACTGCCAAAACGACCTTAATTAAGATATCGTCGACCGGCGATTTTACACAGAAACTGTGTCGTGTCATCGAAAAATAACTAATAAATAATGCAAGTACAAACGGTACATCGATGCATTAACGAGGACGGCGACGGTGCAATCGACGGTTTAACTTAGGTGACGACAGGAACTGATAACTGCTTCTATTTGCAATCCCAGATAGCAGTCATTCAACGTCGACGTCGACGAAAACATTTGGAGAAAGTTATTCGTTAGGGACTTTTCTCTTTCCGGAGAAGATTAATCGGAATCAAACGGATACATCGTAATGTGTATTCCCATCGAAAAGAGAAAGGCGGATCTACAAATTCCAGTTCTCTCGAGCGTTGCGCAATCGCTATGTGGGACACGGGTTTTGGAAAAAGATCGATCTGCCCTTCCGATGACTTAAAATTCTCGCGATTGTGCTTGACGTATTGTAATTTTTACGCGAATTCCGTACTTTGAAACGTGTTTACTCGCACAGTTACCGCATTTCGCGCGACGCGAAAATGCATAAGCGTCGACAGTTTTATCGCAGAACAGAAGAAATTATGTTTTATGACAGAAGAAATTATGTTTTATAACAGAAGAAATAGTGTTTTATAACAGAAGAAATAATGTCTTATAACAGAAGAAATTATGTTTTATAACAGAAGAAATAGTGTTTTATAACAGAAGAAATAGTGTTTTATAACAGAAGAAATAATGTCTTATAACAGAAGAAATTATGTTTTATAACAGAAGAAATAGTGTTTTATAACAGAAGAAATAGTGTTTTATAACAGAAGAAATAATGTCTTATAACAGAAGAAATTATGTTTTATAACAGAAGAAATAGTGTTTTATAACAGAAGAAATGTTTATATAGTTTCGGCTAACAGGTTCTCGAGCGAAATGAGATCTTCCTCCATCGATTTCGAAGCACTCGAGTTTTTGAGTCCCGAGCATGTCGGATAATCGGAATGCCCCAAGTATTATTAAGATAGTAGCGGCATGCGATCGAAATCATGGCGCCATCAATTGAAGCAGCAATTTTCTGCGACGAGAGCAGCAGCCAGCCGGAGTGGAACGAGGGACGAATAATCGGCGCATCGTGAAAATTCATGCCGGTGCTCGCGCCAATGGCCAAACGGAACGCGTAGTCGTGTCGCAGACTTAAATAACGCTGCCAGTAATCGACGCATTTCCACGGAACGTACGCTACACGTTGACCTGCAGTCATTGACACGACGCGAGCTAGCAGACGGTCCAAGTCACACCGCTGCACAATGCACATGCGGCACGTTCTCCTTGGACGGCGCTGTATCGAATACCCGAGCCACTGATTGGCTTCACGAGGACCGCAAAAAGCTAGATATACTA